TGGATTAAAAATTACAGAGGAACAGTAATTGGACTGGACTATGCCATATATTATCTCTCTCTCTTTTTTCTGGTGAAGTGTGAGAATCCAAAATAAACCCAGGCATTCTGGATGAGCTGTAAAGCTGATCTACTTTTTCTGGAGATCATGAAGATTTCTTATTCTGATGACTAGTGGGATATCCTTACTCCCCCGCCCTTTTTTTTTTTTTTTTCCTGGATACAAAGAACATGATTTATGTTCCTTTACTGCACAGGTAAAATCCTTTAAATTCTCCCTCCAGAGACCAAGATGGTTACAGAAAAGAATACTGCCTGGTACCATAATGGCATGGGAGAGAAACTAAAACAGGTGGATGCCCCACAGCAGTGCTCATAGCAGAGCAACTAAGAATAGTAATAGTGGAGCAGCACATCTGCTGTTGACTTTGCTGTAGCATAACCTTTCTAATGCTATCTTCAAATCTACACTCGTGCCTAGTTACCCTGTAACTCCTTTGCATCCTTCTCTTCTTTTTTTTTTTTTTTTTTTTCTTTTTTTCTTTGCTTCATGAGGTAGGCTACTTCCTGAAGTATAATTGTGGCATCAGCCGAAAGGGCTGAAACTGCACCTTGAACTGCAGCAGGCAGTACGTCTGTCTGACTGATCATCGTAAAGCTGAGTGGCAGCGGGAGGCAGTCATCGGCACTGAATGTTCTAAGGAGGCCTTTTTTGTACTGAGATTAAGCCATCATGAAATATTTATGCTCACTTCTGCATCCGCTTTACTGTCTGTTGGATGTGTGCTTAGAAAGAGTTTGCTTAACCAATGTAATACTGCCATTGGTGTTATGATGCAGAAGCTAGGGAGGTTATGCCAACAGTTAATTTTTGTTCTTAAATAAGGCTTTTCACACTTATGCCTTGTCATTATCTTTGTGTGCATTATTTCTATACAACCGTATCATATACCTTTACATGATCTGGTTGTACTTAATGCATGCAGTTCTATGAGAATTTCATTTGATGCAATATAATTCACTTTGAAACCCTCAGTATGTAAAATAAAGTAGTAATAATGATATTATGTGGGACTTTTCCAATTGATTCATCTTTTCAGTGAAATGTAAAAGAAGTCCTCTACTACAAATTACTATAAATGGAAGAAAATGTCCTAAAATACAGACATGTGAAGACTTTTTTCAAACCTCGTACCTTCTCAAGCTGAGAGCACAACCTGCTTAATTTGCCACTGCAAACACTGGCCACTGCAGAAACTGCAGAATGGTTCTGCAATAATTATTTTGTACTTCAACATGAATTAGATATAAGGGTCAAATAAATTAACACTAGAATACCATTTAATCTAGGACATTAATCATTGTTAACTCATCTAATTTTACAATTAAACTGAATATTCAATCTGTCAACCCTTCAGAGTATCCAATCTTTTTGTTCAATCTTAGCATTTTTTTGTTTTTATTTAGAGAAGAGTTTATTACCGGCAAGCATGTCACTGAACTGTTAATGTAATCAATTCCATTTTATTTTAAAACCATTCTTGTGCTTTACTTTACGAAGTAGAAAATTAGATATGATTAGATAATTATTATAGTTTGGTTAGACTGTACGCAATTTGCAGTACTACCACGAATGTGAAACAATGTTATTCTGCAAAACATTATCTTAGCGTTTAAAAACAAGGTAGAGACACGGCAAATAAAGAAGACTGAAGAATGATAAGGCACAAAGCCTTTATCTCTGTGTTGCTGTTCCATTTCGGCTGATATTAATAGCAGCTGAATAATTATCACAGGGATACGCAGCAGCTGACTGCAAGTGAATGAATGTGCGCTCTCACAGAACTTCCAGCCACAGAAATTCCTGTGCTAAGGCTGCGACTTGTGTCTGACACCAACTTGAACGGCCAGAGCACGGGAGTACGGCATAGCCGGGACCCTAGGATATCTTGCCGTACCTAACAGGGTTCTTTTTCTGATCGGCAATGAAACGAGATAGCCAGGTGATGCGAAGTCTGTTCCCTGATGCCCTCCAGAAGATAAAGAGACCCACTCCCTTGAGCTGAAACTTCCCAAAATGTAAACTACCCAGAGAAAAGATTTCTCCTAACCTGGCAGCACCTCCCAGCATGCAGCCTGCCATACCAGGCTGAGGCTAATGACATCGTGGTTTGCAGAGGAATGACCAGTGAAGAAAAAATAAAGATTTTTCACGTTGATATGAGTATACTTTTCCACACGACCAGCATACAACCTTTGCACTACTGGACAGCAACCAAAATTAATGAGTTGTACCGCATGTACTGAAATGCCTATTAAAGTTGATCTTCTAAGCAGGTAGGAATAATATCAAGAAATGTGTAACCACATTTTATTTTAAAGGACAGTTTCTGAACATGGAAATGTACAACAGCCTAGGGTACCTGACCTCCCAGCAGCACAAGTCTTCCTAGTGTCTGAAAATACAAAAGGACTATTTGTAAACATCAAAGGTTGAAATCAACTGTATGAAAACGCGAAGAGTAAGTAAGAATTGTTTCTACCTTGCCCCAGAGGGTTATAGAAGGACGCAAAGTATAAAATGCTCTATTTTTAAATAAGTAAACTGTATAAATTGTTCAGGCTAGGGGAGACTGCCACTAAATACAAGCCTTTTGTGTTGACATTTAACACCAGGAAGACCATAATATCTTTTGAGGGAAGTTCCCAGTCTTCCTTCTACCATTTGTATATTTTTTTGAGTGATATCAAGGCTGACAGATGAATATTTATTGTTGGCAAATCCAACAAACTTCAGCAAAACAATAAACTCCAACAAAAAGCTCACATGAATTCTGCACTTGGCTTAGGTTTAGCAATTATTAATAACCTATTATGTTTAAGAAATGCTGTTTCTAGTTCAAGAAATGTTAAATACAGGAAAAGATCCAGCATCTGAGACTGTCAGCTGGCTCACTACTGGAAATTACTATTCTGAAGAGTTCAGACAGCATTAAAGGTGAGAATAATACAACACAGTCATGTTCCTTTCCCTTTCTTTTTCTCCTGTCCTCTACATTAAATCAGGAATCAGAGAAGGATATGACCTCACAGGCAACCTACTTTCCTCCTCTGCCAATGCAGACTCATTCTCTATGATACTATCCATTTCTGAGAGCTTTTCAAAGCCTATCTTTAAAATATTTTGATGGTTTTTCCTTTGTTAATTTTGATATATTATTTTACAGTCTAACAGCTCCCTGTTAGTAAGGTTTTCCTGATAGTCAGCCTCAAGCTCTCTCTCATAATTCATTCCCTTAACTGTAAATTTCTTTATTCAGATTCAGTTCTATTTATGCCACACCAGACTGCACTGTTCTTCTGTTATTATAATGTCATGTTTTGAGCTAAAGTCTAATTTTTTCTTTCAATTATTTCTCTTACTGAAGGCAAAATCTTACACTGAAGTGAATACCTACAGTACAAATTATTTTTGCCCCAAAATATCTGTTTGCAAATTTCTGAGGTTTATCTTATTTTATTTTCTGTGTGTTTTCATAAGCCTTCATAAAAAAGAAACACTGTCGTTTTGTTTTCCATGATATTTATACTGCCTACTTATTCATTACTACCCCTGAAGTTTATTAGGGATGCTTGCTTTCTTTTGCAGACTAGTGAAGATATTAAGAAAACACACAACTCTACACTGTGCAAAAACCACTGTAATAGGACAATCTGTCCTCTTCATACTTTTAATACCTTGAGTTTATTTGGCTTATTCTTCCTCTCCCTGTAACCCATTCCTATCAAAACTATTTAAATAAATTACATTTCTCTTCCTAATGTATGTTATTTGTAAGTCTGGGACCACTACTTAGTCTTAGTTCAACTCTTCTCTTGGGGGTATACTATGTCGTAGCATTTTTCCATTTCACTATAACATCAAATTAGACTTTAATGTTAAGTATTGCAGTTATGGCCTGACATTTACACAGTCACCTCTTCCCTCCCTTTCTACATTTTCTATTGAGTTGTTAAATGTAATTCACAATAACATTTGGAAATTCACACCTATAAATGGAACCTTTTTTTTTTTTTTTCATTTAAGGCAAAGCCAACCTTATTTTAAATCATTGCATAAAGTAAAAAAAAAAAATCAAAAGTGTCATTTTTCTGTCACTGCAGCTGCACATATGGCTTGCCAACTCTTTAAGAAATGATCAAAATGAATCAAATGTCTAGAATTCCAGGCGATGAAGGCAAAATTCTTCCTCAAAACCATAGTCAATTCACAGTAACTCACGGTCCACCTAAGTTGCACGCTCTGTACTGACCCAGACTGACTACAGCAGCCATAACTGCTTTGGATGCAACGCTGTGCAAACACGCGGATAAGGCCACATCCAAATTTGTCCCTGGCGCAACAAGCCCCCCCTGGCATGGGGACACAAAATACCCAACCAGCTGAACGGATCTGAGGCAGCTTAATGGAAAAAGGACTACCTGGGCTGACTCTGCATACAGACACTTTATTATCTCCATGCCTTAACTTTTAACATGCCCCATCACACCTGTATTACCACTATCCAAACCCCCATTATTGAAATAGGGGAAAGTTCACTGATACTGAACTGGTGATAAAATGAAGTAAATAAACCATTTAATGCTAATAATTTTCCCCTTCCCACCCTACTTTGTGTCCTATTATCCAGTTTCTTCTCATAGGAAAACCACAGGTAGATTATGTACTCGGTTCAGTACGTACTTCATCACTGCACTGGGAGTCTTCGTCAAGTTCTCTAATACGTAGCTGAACGGACTTTATCTGCCTGGGAATGCCACTGTCACAAATACAACAGTGGGGTGTCATTGACTGTAATGCTGCCAACTGGACAAGTTCTAAGAGATAAGAACTACTTTCTTTTAGCCTCATTTCTCTAATCCCAAATTTAGGGGAAAAAATGTCCTAAAATAATGAAATAAAAATAGAAGGAATTAAATTAAATAATGCTTTGCAAACACTTACAGTCCATAAATCTGTGGAGCAATTTCCAGTCGGTTCAGATGCATGTACAGCTCAATATCATGTTTCTTCAGCAGATGATCCTGAATTTGGTTTACTTTCGCTACAATAGCAATAGATGGGCCCAAGTCTTGTGGCCTTGCAAATGGCATAGGTGTAATCATCACATCTTTCTCCTGCAGACACAGAAACAAGGGGAAAAAAAGAGCATCCCATGAAGCCTTATTGTCTAAAGGGATTGTCTACAAGAGATCTGTTTTGTCGTAATCATTGGCTTCCAAAAAACATAAAAATATTAATAATTTGTTTCTTTCCAGCAAAAGAGGAATCTCAAATATCCACTTCTGGGGAAGGTATTGTGGGATTCCCCTTCCCAGGTGCGCCAAGGTTCACTCCCTCATTCTGCATGTCAATTTTTACGTGTGTGCTTTACTTTTCATGCTCTGACAAAGTGTTGACAGCTTTATTTTTTAGCTTTAATATCAGCAGTCTGAGTCAGTCCAGAGCAAAGCAGATGAATGGTAACTTAGTAGAAAATATATGCCCTCAGAGGACAATAAATTGCATACCAAATAGGAAATAACTTATTTTTGAACAATCCTTTCTAAACAGGCTTCCCTTGCTCAGAAAACATGGTGGCTGTACCTCAAAATCTACACACTTTTGATAAAGCATCAGAAAACTTTTAAAACAAAAAAGATGTAGAGCAGTGAGATGAACCTGATGGTTAGAGTGTAGTTGGCTGGACCTAAAGGTTGTGCAAACTGTGTCATGATCCAGAACACAGCACACACCAAGGAAAAACAGAGGAAGAAAACTACTGGAGTATTAGCATCCTTGAACCTGATACCGCTTTAGATTTGTTCTTCTTGCAAAAGAATGAAGTATTATTGAAAAAGAGACAGAATGCTAGAAAGAAATGCGGCAAGTAATGAACCCCACCAAATAGGAAACGTAAAAAGAAGGATGAGAAATACACAAGTCAAACCTATCAAGAGAAAGACTGGGGAAAGGGAAACGGAGAATTAAGCTGTCAGGAACAATGTTAAAATTATAAAAGAGGGAAAATTGGAACAGTAAGAACAGAAGATTTTGCAATGACTTTGTTGCAATCTCTCATCATGGCTCTCTGACCTGAAAGCTTCACTTAAAAAAATAGTTCTTGTTTTTCTACCCTTTTGTTCACTATATTGATAAAGAAGCATTATCAAGGTCAAAGGGTTAATAATTTCAGAAGACTTCATTACAGCTTAAACTGTTGAAAGACACATTTACTTGGCTCAATACAGTGAAAAGCACATTATTTTTAACATTCAATAATAAAGAAAGGGGGTTTTGTTGTATAAACTATCCCCAAGGTTGTTTCCTATGGTTATAGTCCCTCTTCAACCCCATTCTCTCTGTATCAGCATTTTAAGGGGAAGAAAGAGAATTACCCATATTTCACTATCATTTACAACGTGGTTTAACATTCAAGTGGGCAGCAAACATCTAATATTTTCTACCAAAAAGTCTATTTTTTTAAATTGATCTCCTTTGCCTGAAATATTTTTTCATAATTATTCCATTTCTGTACTGCAGAAAATATGGTATGATGTTGAACAGTGATTTCAGGTAAAATGTTTCTACTTAAGGATGTGATTGATTATAAATTGTATCTTAAAATCTGCTTAATTGTTGCTTTGTTATGGCAATTGCAGCAAAGGGACTGATCTGTCTACTACAATGCGGTGGTTTTGCCATGGTATTGTGATACCAAGACATATTCATTTAAGATGCCCTAGCAAATCACTTGACAAAAGCTCCCTCAGACTGTCAAATAAAACTCACTGAAATGGCATCCTTTCATTCAAAATCTTTCCTCTCCTACCAAACAGAAATTTAAAATAAACCATCTAGCATCTTAGGGGCTAATGAGAAATGTTGCTACTTACTTAAATACTATAGTTCTTCACAGCTGCAGGTACGTTGAGAAAGGATATTTCTCCTACTCTCTTTTTAAATTATTCTATTATCTTCTTTATTACCAAATTGGGCAGCCTTCTTTCTACCCTGATTTTTGTTCCTCCATTGTATGGCTATTTCCTACTGTTATTTCAGATCCGTTCATTATTTTCTCAGTCACATGCTAGAATGCAAAATACTGAAAAAGGATATCCACTAATCTACTTCCAATCTATATAGAAAAATCCTCTTAAAGTATTATATGATAGCATGGCTTTAACATTAAATGCCAGTCTATAGTAATTTTTTGCATAAACATATCAATTTATCTTTGAAACTAATAGTCTGTAACTCTACATATTCATAGGCTATGCCTGTTCCATCCGTTGACACACATCTGGGGTATGAATTTTATTCTAGTTCACTCAAGTTGAGTTTAACTTCAGCTTGACCACTGCATGTAAACATAACTCTGATGACACAAAAGATCTGTATTTTTAAGCTTTTCTTGATTATAGCCCTAGATTCTTGTACAGAAATCTCAACATTAGGATCTTTCTACTTATTTGAACTTGTAATATGAGGAGACTAGTTAGTTACTCAGATCAGCCTTTACATCATTAGTTGTCTGTGGGTTTAAAGCCATCTTTGCAAAATTAGAAGACTGACTCTTAAATATGGGCTCAAGTGTCAAAAGATTCTCAATATCAAAACTAATGCAAGCTTCCTCTCACGGAGGAGTGCCAAAACTGGAGTTATTTGTCACTTGCAGCATTTGTGCACCTTGGCATAATGTAGCACTGACACATTGCTGACTGTCAGACCAACTGCTATCAACATGGCTAAGTGCATCAAATAATATATGCTGGCTTGCCATTTTTAAAAGCATGAGATAAGTAAATGGTATCCATCAAAATGCAGTTCATCAGCACCTTAGAAATTAACCCCATTAACAGAAATCTTTAAAGCATAATGGAATCTGTGGGGACAGCAGTTGTGATCAATAATCAATGCCTTGACTGTCCATGCCTCCTGAGTTGGTGCACTCCACCAAGAAGTTAAGAGGATGACTAGAGTGCATACGACATGTCTTCTTGTCTCCTCTCATGCAATTTGGTTGAGAAAATGACAATACATTTAGTCAGTTGAAATTGCTCCAAAAAAATCACATCAGCTGGTGTGAAAGAAACAGCCCAAACAGAAAGATGATCAAATAAACTAATACAACCAAGCCTCCAAAATGTTTAACTAGAAATTGGCTGGACGGTCACACTCAAAGAGTTGCGGTCAACAGCTCGATGTCCAAATACAGACCAGTGACAAGTGGTGTTCCTCAGGGGTCAGTATTGGGACCAGCGTGATTTAACATCTTTGTTGGCAACATGGACAACACGATTGAGTGTACCCTCAGCAAGTTTGCCACCGACACCAAGCTGTGTGGTGCGGTCGACATTCTAGAGGGAAGGGATGCCATCCAGAGGGACCTTGAAAGCTTGAGAAGTGGGCCTGCGTGAACCTCATGAAGTTCAACAAGGCCAAGTGTAAGGTCCTGCACACGGGTCGGGACAATCACAAGCACAACTACAGGCTGGATCGTGAATGCATTGAGAGCAGCCCTGAGGAGAAGGACTTGAAGGTGCTGGTAGATGAGACCTGACAAGGTGCACTTGCAGCCCAGAAAGCCAACCGTATCCTGGGCTGCATCAAAAGAAGCGTGACCAGCAGGTTCAGGGAGGTGATTCTGGCCCTTGACTTTACTCTCATGAGACCCCGCCTGGAGTACTGCATCCAGCTCTGGGGCCCCCAACATAAGAAGGACATGGAGCTGTTTGAGCAAGTCCAGAGGAGGGCCATGAAGATGATCAGAGGGCCTGAGCACCTCTCCTGTGAAGACAGGCTGAGAGAATTGGGGTTGTTCAGCCTGGAAAAGAGAAGGCTCTGGGGAGACCTTATAGTAGCCTTCCAGTAGCTAAAGGTGGCCTACAAGAAAGCTGGAGAGGGACTGTTTACAAGGGCATGTAGTGACAGGACAAGGGATAGTGGCTTTAAAGAGATTTAGATTACTACTAAAAGGAACATTTAGATTAGAGATTAGGAAGAAATTCTTCACTATGAGGGTGGTGAGGCACTGGAACAGATTCCCAGAGAAGTTGTGGATGCCCCCTCCCTGGAAGTGTTCAAGGCCAAGCTGGATGGGGCTTTGGGCAGCCTGGTTTAGTGGGGGGTGTCCCTGTCCAAGAGGTTGGAACTAGATGATCTTTAAGGTCCCTTCCAACCCAAACCATTCTATGATTCTATGTGCTACGCTGTTTACAGGAGACCATCAGATTCACCTCTAAGAATAGTTTAAATATGGATGTCAGTGAAATGTAGATGAAAAATTCAGATCAAGTATTAGGAACAGAGTCACCAAATCCTGCCACAAAACATTACCTGCTACAACACGAACTGGAATGGCTGGCAGTCGATACTAATACAATTTATATATTCATGCATTTAGAAGACAAATGCTACAAGCAGTAAAGAGAGGCTAGGACATAGTGCAAGTATAAACTGTGGACAGATTTCTCTCATTAACCACTAGGGAATGGAGTAGCTGGAGAAGCTCCTCTAATGGCAATTGGGAGTAATGGAACCAACTGTTAGAGGCTATAAAATGTTAACATGTCTCTCAGAGCACATGCTTTCATTGCTTCCTTTGTGAAGATTCAGACTTTATTATGTAGCCAGCCCTCAAAGTCATGATTGTAAAAGGCATACGTACAAGAAAGGATTATTAAAGATTATACATGTTTGCAAAGAACAAGAACAAACAACTAGATATTAATCCATGCACTTTGCATTGTTAATTTTTTATGCCACAAAAGGACTGGAAAGGGCAATGTAAACTTTCACCTTCTACCCAAGCACTGCAAATCTGTAAGCAGACCTAGTTATTTCCCAGAATAAAATTCAGCCTCAGACTTTACCACCTTTGTCACAGAAACTTGAACAAATACATTTGAATATACTGAATTCTGAAAAGCTACACTCAGAGAAACATGTCTCACAGCTTTGTTGTTGGAATAAAAGTGACTATGTAATAAGTTCGTAAAATCTGTATCTCATATGCTTTATTCTTAGTTAGTGAGAATTATGTAAAAGCCCAAATCCAAACAGTAGTTTATAACTGTAGATAACTTAGGCCAAGATGCCAGTGCTCCATGTCTAATAAAATACATACACAGATACATTTAAACATTTAAAGAAAATAGAAGCTTTTATGTGAATCTTGGGTGAATATCTTTTTCTTCAACAGATAGGCAAAAACTAGTTACAGTTTGCAAATACAGTCTGCAAAAATACAGTTTGCAAATACAGGGTTTGGTGCACATATGCGGACATCCAAACTCAACCAAATCATTATTAATTTTTTGTTAACTCTAGATACTCATCCCATGGTCTATGTGAAAAATGCTGAAGTGAATCAAGCTGGAACTAAGTTTGGAGGGCAACCCTTTTAGGATATAATACACTGCAAGTCTTGGCAATAACTCTAATATGGCTACGTTTTGCTAGAGCCTTCTGCATACACTCCATCACACAAATCATTTTTCAGAATTAAAAACAAGAGAGAAATGTAAACGGAAAGAGACAGGAAAAAGTATTCGAAGGAAATCTTGAGCAATTGACTGAGGGAATTGTCCCTCATGTCATGCATGAAAAACAGTTACAGGCAAGGACTAGATGGTACCTAGAAGGCCCCTGCAAAGAAGAGTTCTGTAGACCTAAACTCAGAACATAGAAAAAGCATTTCTATGAAAAGAAGCAACATACTCTGTTTGAATACTCTGAGGTCAAGAAGAAAACAAAGTATGGAAATGGAGGGATGAAGTCAGGGAAAGATGCACCCTGACCTTTGATGGACAGCCTACGATTAAAGTTTTGGGTTCACAGCAAATTGTTTATATTGTAAACAGTTGAAAACAATTCAAGCCTGAGTATGTTAAACACTGCCTATATGAATTTATTTAATGTGACATTTGCACAGGTTTTGGGCACACATAGATGTGCCTGTGACAGGCATTCTTTCAAATTCTACACAAGAACATCACTCATACATAGGAGAATCTGGTGGCACATTTGGCTTGTGATTACCAAGTCATCTTTCAACAGACGGAACTCTCAACTGGAAGACTTTGCACAAATGCTTATGACCAAATTCTGAAGAAACTCTAAAGAGCATAAACTTGGTTAAGCCTGCTTTAACTAAGCTGTTTAAGAGAAGATGACTTATTAGCTTCAAATTACTTCAATCATATTAAAATCACATTTGCTTAAAAATACAATAAATACATTTTAGAGCAATAATTACCTTCTGACTGTCATGTTCAAATGTTGAAAACCAATGTTCTGCAGTTTTCATAAGACGTGTGAACATTGCACTGAAGGGGAAAAACCCAGAAACTTGGTGTTAAATAATGTATTACAAATAAGAGCAAATTAAATGTAAAGGAAGTTGTTAAAACTTACTAGGCATCATGCTCCAGATACTCAGGATTCAAAAGAACTTTCATTTCCTCGCTGAAAAAGGCAACAGTGAACAATCCAAATGTGAATGTTTATTTTTGGTCAGCGTTCTGCATGTACTATTATGTATTTATAAGCCAACTTTCATATAAAGTGCAAATGAGAAAACTAGCCTTTTTAATTAAAAAGAGCAACTCCATTGAACAAATGAAGTCTTTCCTTTTTATAAAGATCAAAAACAAATTAGCTGCCTTGTCTGCACTACAATGAAGTAACCATCTAATTATTCCAAATAACAAATTACTGAATGTCACAATGTATTATTTGAATATGCTTGATCTAGAATAATTGATTGCTGCACAATCTATCACTGTTTGTCCCAAACAAAAAAAATATGGTTACTGGTCAAATATGCACTATCAAAACATTAATTTATTTTGTTTTAATAGCCTGTATTTTTATTGTACTTTAACAGCAATTAATCAGTGACAGCACCTCTTTTCCATCTACTTTGCTGCTTAGCTCTACTTTTTCAGTGGGGATGGAACAGAATGCTGTGCATAACACATGGTTATTTTAAGTTACTTAGCACTGAAGAGCATCTTCTAGGTAATTTCAGGATATCTAAGGACAGACATTGAATAAAAACACACACTTGTAAATAATCTCCAACCTTATGCTTAACTGCCTTTAGACAATCACATTGAGGAGTGCTACCAGAGGTTATATTATATAGTACATGTAATTAAATTGGCTTTTATTCACTGCTGGACTCCAAAAGAGAGTGGAAAAAGACAAATGAAAATAGTTTACCTAAGTATCACAAGTGATACAAGAAGGCCGCTAGTTTCTTTTTTTTTTTTTTTTAAAAAAAAGGTTTTACCTATAGAGCAAGGAAAAAAGCATCTGAATTTGGCTGACAATCATGTGATATAATACTTTATACGTATGTGTATGATTACATGCACACACCCACAGTTTAAGCAAAATGGAGAATCAATAGCTACAGTTAATGTTACTACCAAGTCAAAGGATAGTCAGATATTGCAGCTACAACATTGCAGGTGATAAAGAAATATCAATCACAACAATTTGTCTGCATTGATTTTTCTCCTCTTTTAAGACATGAGGAAAGAGAGTTGGTAACATGTCTGTTCTATGACTGTAGTTCTCTAATCTGCCTCCTCTCTGCAATGACAAAGACTAAACCCTTTCTGGCAATAAGAATGAGGTGAAACGTAGGCAGGTATTTAAGCTTTTTGACTAAGGTTTTCCTTAGGTTTCTCCTCTCCTCTTTTTTCACCACTTAGTATCTATGAAGGAGCCAATGTCTACACTTTTAATCCCCCTTTCAGAAACTGTAGCAGGGAAGATGAAATAAGGACATTCTCATCAAAGCATGAGGGTGCAACAGTTTCTGATATTAATTTATCAATTATAAACAAAGAATTAAGGAACGCATATTTCTAAGTTCTAGTCCAGTCAACTTATTTATTTTTTAAAGAAAGCAGATTTTTAATACTATACAAATAAAACACAATGCTTGCCTTGGTTGTGCAGCTTCACTGGCATGTGAAAAAGCTTGGTGGTCACAATGCAGGATAAAGACAATGGGAGCTAAAAGTTCATGCATACCCTAAACATAAAAGGAAGCAAAAGTACAGTAAGATTTTCCAGTCGTGTAATAGTTCCTAATGCACAGCACCAGGCAGCCAGCAATATTAGGTGCAGATTAACTAAAACCATGAACATTTACATTCTAACAGAACGGTTTCATAATCAATGGCTTTTATCTTAAATTCTGATTAGATCCAAGTGTTTATTCTTCTCTAATATACTGAAGCAAGTTATTCTCCCTTTTTCTAACACGACAGACAAAAAATTGGCAATGGTAAGCAACCCTGCACCTGGCAGTTTACTCCAAGATCTATGTTCATAAATATGAATTTTATTTACGATAATTACAATCATGATCCACAGTACAAAGATCTGCAATAGGGAAAAATTACAAAATTTAAAATTATTTTTTATTTGATAATGTTCCAAACCCATAGATAAAAGCGTAACAGTAGCCTTCAAGGAGACAAGGGCAGCTATTTGGCAAATTAGAAAATGAAACTTCCATTCCTACGGACATGAGAAATAAAATGAGTTGTTGGGGTTTTTTTTTTAAGTTGTTATGTCAATATTAAAAATAAACTCATTATAACACGATGCATAGGAGACCTGGTACTGTTCCATTACAGACTATTTCTTATATATCCCATCTATAGTAAGATACATAAAAAATATAGAAACATGCAGGAATCAGAAGAGAAAAAATTGATGGATAGTCAAGCACTTGGGCCAGCATAAGACACATGGCTGGGCCACCCTGTTGAGCCATTCATGCTTTTACCCAGAGCTCACCAGGAACAAAAAAGGAGTCTTGATTTGCCTTGATTCACCTGAGGCTTGTCAATTTGTTATCAGGAGCAGAAGGAACCACGTCAGGAAATAAGCAATCCAGTTGGCAAGCAGCAACGCACTGGCAGGGAAAACTACAGCCTGCAGAATGACGCCTCATCTTCAGCAGATATACAGCCCCTTCCCTCGGATTAGATCAGCGGAAAGGAGGATTTGGGGTATCATAACTGGGCAATTTGGTTCCCCAGTCAGGGGTAGTTGGGCTCCCAGTGGTGGACTAGGATGGCAGGTAGGAACTACACAAGCAACAGGTGGGGTGGGAGGTCAGCCATACAAAAGAAGTGAGGGGAGCCCTTTGGTGATGGAAGGTATGTGGGATGAAGGGTTGAGACCTGCCTGGCTGCCTCTGGACACAGGGATCACTCCAAGGGGAGGGAACACCTGACCTCTGCCCAAAACCACCAGCTACAGCTAGGTCTTGGTATCAGGGTGCCCCGGCTACCCCTGATGGGTCTCACTCTGGGTGGAGTCCTTGCCCGGCTGTAGGAGGAAGAGTGTGCTGCCAGCAGTGCTCCAGTTCAAAGGTGCAACTACTTCACAAAGTGGAGCCTCAGTCCCAAAGCCAGGTGAGTGCTCTGGGCAGACAGAGGTGCCAGGAAGACCATCTTGTCTATCCTGTTGGCAGAAAGAGCACTAGGGCTGGCCCATCAAGCTCACAGGCATTTCAGGCTGCTGCCGGGAGTCAGATGATGGGTCCTCAGACCACAACAGTAGAACTGTTCTACCTTTATGCTTGCAGTTCCAAGCTAGGAAGCCTCTCCACTTGCTTTTCCAGCCCTTTGAGTGATGGACAGACGTGAGCGATGAGAGTTACATGCTTGTGCAGCTCCCTGCTGCTTTGCTGGTACGTCAGCTGATATTCCATGTAGCGTTTGAGGAATATTCAATACCACTGAGTTAGCTTATCAGCTTCGTATGTATCAAATAGATCCATTAACTACTAAAAACCTTCAACCTTTATTGGAAATAATGAGGATTTTCCTTAAGTGGTCCAAACTGAGGTAGATGTGGAAACCCCCTCTTGATGATTATCTATCCTGAGTGTGTTGGGATGCATGTTAGTGTATCTTATCTGTTCGCAAGAGGAAATTCCAATACTTAGCAGTGTTGAAGAAAAAAAAAAGAGGTTTGGACATTTCCTTGTGTGCTATCAACTGGAATCCCACAAAATTTGATTTTAATTTCTTCAGGATGGAGATGACTGTTATAGCCTCAACTGTAGGGTTGCAGCAATAGCTGTCAGTTGACTGGGCAAAACTAAAGACAGCAAAATTACTGAAGTTTGGACGTTTTCTTTCTCTTTCTATTTCTGAACCTTTAGGGACTATCTTGAAAGATGAAGGCTAAATAGAAATTCAGTTAGAAAAAAAAAAATTAAACACAACATAGCCACTTGATTTCAGGAGCTGATGTAAAACTCCCAAATGCAACCATATGGGTTAGATTACAAATTGACAACTTTTTAGATTTCTGAAAGTCTTATGGTCAAACCAAGAGGGAAAGGAATAGAGACAGGGAGATAGGTCCAGGATTAGACAATAAATATAAGTGGCAAAAATATTTAAATAAACTGTAGATAGTCTGGGTTGTACTTTCATGCATACTCACAGCCCTCAGTTAATTAACAGATCCATGTCTAATCTTTTATTCGCCCTGATATACTAACATGAAATAAGAGAAATGGAAATGCCAAAAACTTGACTAATAAAACTACCAACTAAGCTGTAAACATATAAGCTGAAGAAAAAGAAAGAGGACATAAAATAAGAATTAGTTATAAAAGATAAAAGCACATCATACATTCTTCCAACATAATAATATATCATCTCTATAATAAAGCAGAATCATAATGTGGCTGCCCACATACAACAAAAACAAAACAAACAGATGATGAAATATCAGGATTTCAAAAAGATAGCTCTGATCTTTCAGTTACAAGAGTACTTCAAATGTTTAGAGATTTTTAGCTTGGCAAGAAAAGCCACCAGTGTAATATGCATACACATATTTTTTCAATGCTGCAGTTTACTAAAACTCTTTAGTGTTAATAAGTAAGTTGACAGAGCTCAGATAATTTTATGACACTTCCCAGCTACAACAAAATATTGATTTCATAATACAGTCTATGGTTTAGAAAGAAAACCAGAAATATAGCATTTCTACAATGAAAAGTGAATCAATGCATTTCAAAAATATATTGACTTCTCTAAGGGCAATCAAATCATGAGCGAACAATAGTTACCCTACTGATTTAGCGCAATTGTCACTATTTCTTTTCAGTGTAACTAGGACCAGAATTTTGGCACCAGTATTACAGAAGAATGCTAAGAGTAATTTTTACATATTCTTAAGTACAATATACTATTCTCTTTAGATTTGATATTTACAGCTGCTATTTAAAAATTCAATGATTCCAGTGAGGATTCTGTCTTTAAAATCTGTAATACGGCTTCACAACATTCTACTCCATTTGACTAGGGACAGAAATATCTTTTTCCTCATCAAATAAAATGTTACTTCATGCTGGTCAAAAAACCACAAACCCTACTACAAAGACAACTTTCATGCATATATGCATATTAAACAAACATTATTGATTGCTTCTTGTAAGACTATATGCTGATGCTATGTAATAGTTTCAATAAAATGTTGTAAACTTCAGATACACTTTATTTACATTTATAAGTATGCAAATTGCCAAGGAACTATAACTTTTTCCAAAAATTTTGAAAGAGAAACATGGGTCCTGTACAGATGCTGATAGACGGCAGTATAAGTTTTCATTTACCAGCCAAGTGTTATAGCTCTAACAGCAAATGTAGCTCTTGTATGTGTTCATACAAATGAAACAGAGGAATTCTTATGGAGAACAACAGGACCAGTCCCATGATGAATACCGAATATGAAGACAAACTCCTTAATTTGGGCTTTGTATTCGGGTCACTGTGGAGAGACCAGCTTAGAGGTGATCTGTTATTGATGAATTAATGGTAACCTTCATTACTTTCAAGAAAATATGCTAGGCTTTGATGTAGTGGAAATTATCACGGGAAGTGGGGCTTGAGTGAATGGTAAAAACAGAACAGTAGGACAGGAAGATTGACTGCAACATAGGTATTTGCTAAAAGAGGGAAAAAACCCATATCCTGTCACCACCACAACCTCTAATTTCTATTAGCTAATTCAGAGAAGAGTACTGATGGACATGTTATCTAAAAAGAGAGGGACATGGGGACAAAAAAGCAGGATTGTTACTAATAAGCTAACAGGAGCATTACTTCAAAAAACCCCAACAAACTCACCCTTTTAAAATGAGGTAATAAAAAAGAAAAGCTCCTAATAAAAGTGACACGTGACCACAATAAGAGAGGAAATCCACAGTCCTTTGCTATTTTGTGGACTTGGCGCAGCACCACGAGACTTGGGCGATACACTGAATATGCTTCAGAGAGATTAAATCAACAGTTTTTCATGACCCAAATTTATTTCATTTTCTGCACTTCACCTCTCCCCTTAGTCCTGTGGCAACCCCTTCCTGGAATTACTGCACTACTGATGCACACCAGTTGAAAACAGAGGTAAAGAAGTTTTCTTTGTCAACAGCCTGTAGGCTCGCAAAATTGAACCTGTTCTTTTATCTGCCTATGTTCATTTAGCCCACCAAGCAGTCTTTATTAAAGCTGAGGCATCAGGCAGTCAAAGTTCATTAATACCATTTATATAATCTCTGCAGTTTCAATTAACTCAGCAAGACATTCTACTACATGATAACAGTCTCATTAATTCAATAAAATCCCATAACTATTAACAATATGGTCTATGTTAAACGGGGTGTCACCTAGTAGAAAATAATAGCTTTAACAGCTTGTGATGAAACTCAGGGTTTTTTTTTTTTAAATTTGATCTGGCTAAATATTCCATCCTTATGCAGAAAGGTATTATTTCTTGGTAAGGAATCAAGAGGATTTTAAATATGAGCAGAGGGTAATTAAGTCCTTTTAAGTTATATCAAAGAGTAAAATAATACCTCTTGTTCAATAAATGATAGACTAAATTAGCTAAAATGTGTTCTTCCATTTTCCCACCATCAGTACTCCGGCCTATATTCACTAGAAAGGGGAGGCTAAATGAATACTGCTGAAGTGTTTTCTTTAGCAGTGCCCTTCAAAATACAGCTCACAAATCTCATTTTTTCTTGTTCTCAGGCAATACTAGTCCTTACTCACTGTCTGTCAAAGATGAGAAATAACCAGTTGACAGAGACTGTGTATGTTTGATAACTATATATTTGATTTTTGATATAATCTGTAAGACAGTTTTTTCAGAAGTAACTGTTCCTTCAGCTCATATGTGTCATTTTTTTCACAAAACGCCACTAATTTCCCGGCTTGAGGACAGGGTGGTCACAGATCATGCCTGAAAGCATACAGTGTCTTATAAAAATCTTCACATTTACTGGACCTCTATATTTTTGTCATGAAAAATTTTCTGCCTAGCTGAGGTTTGCTGCTCTACAGTTTATCCTTTGTCCATGCACACAGAGCATCCCTCCGTTTGCTAGCCCCTACTTACCCCACAGTTAATAGCCTGAAGAAACAAATACAAATGTATTTATGTCAATACTTTGCATATTGGTCTTACTATATTCATTTAGTATCAAGGTTATACTCACTTCAAAATCTTCAGAACAAATATCAAATTAATTCAGCCTGCATCCCATATGGATGCAGAGTTAGTGCAGCTTTAAGGCTTTCTTTACCATTTTATCAAAAATGGTTTGAGCAGGCTCTCCTTCGGGTAACACTGTAAAAGTGGTATTTGTAACACCCTAATCCTTCTCCTCCAGTGAAGAGGCATTTGTCAGCTGCATTGTAGTTGGATGCTACAGGGTTAGATAAAGGATCTATTCGCTAACGTACCACATGGCTTTAGCACTTTGAGGAAGAACTTGAAATGTTACGTAAAACTTAAAATAGTAAAATTTGCCTAAATTTCAGAAGTCATTATTTATGTTTTTTGTGTATTCAGTACTATTTTTAATCCTGCTGCATACTTACTTTCTTTACCTAAGCAGAGCAAGCCCTTCTTTTTTATTTTCTTTCTTAACCAGCACTGAAGAGAAAGATGTTGTTTATAAAGAAATTTGAAGTTAGATGACTTAGCAACCTTAAAGAGAACAATTTGAGGGACTGCATTATGAGGAAAAAGCATATGTTATTCAATGAGCTTACTTTTCTTACTATCCAGCTGACAAGCAGCTCTTTGATTACTTTAGCATTATGATACAACTTCAGATACAACAGAACTACATTATTGTCAAACCGTATAGAAAATGTGGAGTCAATGAATGCCACCTGTACAGTAGTTTCATTACCTGTTTATAAAGCAACTGCTCATTTTCTCTGGCGTAGCAGAACAGAACATCTGTAAGAATTTTCCTCACACTCTCTTGCTGGAAATACTGCATTTCAGGAAAGCTGAAAATGAAGAAATACAGTGAAAGTAAACAATATAGCACACAGAATCTCAGTCGCTGGTCTTCTAGAAATGGTTTTAGCTAAGAGAGCACCTCCCTTGTCTGCTTTCCCATGGCTCTGTGAATTGTGGGTGCTGCTAGAGTAAGAATACTTCTAAAGACTTGTTACATTCATTTTGCAACCAAAATTCTCAACCATGTTCTTTAATATACATTATTCTGCTACACAGATACAATGATATCGCCAGTTATATTTAAATAAGCAGTCCCTTTTAACATTACGAAAACTAGAGATCTGCAAGAATGAAATAGAATGGTAGACTGTTTTAATCATCAACTTCTTACACACAGCCAGTCTACTGAGAATGAATGACTTGGAGAATCTAATCCAAATAAAATGATGCACCATATGAGTATGTTCCCAATTGACTAAAGGATCAAGTGCCTTTCCTCCTCCGTGTCATGAAAAGGAGTTGAAGCAGAATGGAAGGAGACAGAACGAGGGACGATGACCGAAGCAAAGATCTACCCTCTCCCTCCTGCACACAGACTCTTGCTGTCAAACCTAGCAGCCCAGAAGACTGTCCTGGTCCCAGGTGGCACAGAATCCCAGTAGCAACTTAACTCCGAGACTGCGCTCCGCTGATTGTCAGTCCTTCACCAACAAATCTAAAACTTGCTAGGAACACTGAGAAAAGGAGTGTGATCAAAACCACCAAGTGGACACTTCTTCTCCCCTAAAAAACCGAAGTCAGTTAAAACTCGGTTATCTATTGATAAATTTGATTCAAGTAAAAAGTAAGCACCAAAGATCAAATCTCCATAGATAACAATTATACTTTATATGACATGCTCCCATTTTTTTAATCTGTGTTAGGTTGGGAACTGTAACTGGATCAGTTTGCCCCGCCGTTTCACAAATAGTGCTCAGCCCTGCTCTTCCTTTTTCTCAGTTGAGCAAAGGAAGAGTACGAGAGCTACAATATGTTAAAGAAGTTTGTAAGATTTTCAGGTCTAAACTGGAATTAAATAGAAGAAAGAAGACTATTTCAGAAGAAGCATATACACAAGGGTTCAATATTTCATGAACATTTGAAAAATGATGAGCATTTTAATGACAAGATTATTAAAATATCTCACAACCGACACGAAAATCAGTATCCTAATTTTCTTGAGCTCTAAGCAAGCTCCATTATATCTTACTAGCATCTTTTTTACGCAACATAATTAGGCACTGTCTTTAGTAGCTGTCTGAAATAAACTTTAAAATTATGAAATAATTTTATACTCTGGCAGGGCAAATATCCTTTAAGTGAAATGGAATGAAGTGGAAATAGTGTGAGAAAAGGGAAAAAAACTTCTGGGAAAATCCTGTTATCTCTGTATAATCCAGGAAGATGTAAATATTTACAATCTGCAACTATTCTGAAACAACTCTCACCTGTGCATCCTGCTCCTTGACTGTTGGAAGTAGTAAATCAAGTGGTTACGCAGGATGCACTTTAATGAATAAGTGCACAAACAAAAGTGTTTTCATGCTTACTGAAGAAGTAACTAGATGGCAAAAAATATTTCATAAAGCAACCATCCCAATCCACATCCAAGCTATGTGAGGCAATAACAAATACAATAAAAATATCTGGAAAGGTATAATACCAAAAAGAAAGGAAAAGGTAAAGCTGGACAAAGAAAACCAGAACACTTAAAAAGACAACAACAGTAGGCCTCAGGCTAGATTGCTGAAATAAAGCCTATAGTATTGTCAGTTTTAAAATGAAATCACATGGATTGCAGATAAGTTTTCTTCAAGCAAACTTTGTTTTCCCTGCTTCCCAAATCTGAGCCACAATGCTAAACTTTACAACAGTTGTATTAAGGCTGTTGTAAAACCTGACATGGAGAAACAATACAAGGAATTATAACAAATTACTTCAGATAAAACTATTAGTGTAAATAATTACTGTGGTCATCTCACAGAGGTGATGACAGGTAAGGGCAGAAACATTTAAGGTTAGAAAGGTGCTCTGAAACCCTTGGGTGAAAGACCTTGGAATCAAGAGCCGAGGCAGAGAAGACACCGTGCCTTGAACACAGCAATGCTGAGGAAGGCATTAGGATGAGAGGTGCAACGTTTTCCTGGCACCTGGTGGGGGTAATGGTAGACCAACATTTGGAAACTTGTTTGCACTTGTACTAATCATATTACTGTAAAGGAAGGACAAAAGTGCATTACAGCAGAGACCAAAAGTGCATTACAGCAGATGGCAATCGACGTAATTTAGGGGTTTGAAGAGATTATTTCTGAAGGACTGTTATTCAGACCTGCCCTATGAAGTTTAGGAAGAGAAGACTAACAAAGAAAACTCAAAAATACACAGAGATATCTGTGAGGATCTAGTAATACCAGAGATTGTGACAGAAAGGATAATAACGAACTCAGGAATAAGCTGGCTGAAGTATTAATTATAGTAAATGTAAATACAAGAGATCACGAGGGAACTATCAGTTCAGGATGGATTTTTATGGAGAATGTCATTTTATGATTAAAGCATTGTTTTAGAAATACAGTATCCTCAAATCAGGCAATGTAAGAATACTTTTCATGAACACTAGAATATTACATTTAATTACATTTCTGAGAAAAACTGCATCAGAACATGGGAATTTTGCTAGACTGTTTTACCACAACCGCTACAATTAAACAACAGCGCATTCAAGTCCCCGCTTTCTGAAAGTGAAGACCCGCACGAGTTAGTTACCATTTTTTAAAACATTCCTTTAGCAGAGGCAGCCAGACTTTGACACAGAAGAAACTTAGGCTGGCAACCAAATGAAAGGATGCACAAATACTTTATGAAAAGAATTTTGTGGCAGACAGAAATGAGGGTCTTAACCACAGCCACGGAGCGACCACCTTTGCTTTCACAAACAGATTCCACCCCCCGCCATTCCTCATCCCTGTTACTCAGCTGGAATGGGGAATGCTACTTAACCAGAAAAAATGGACGGTGCTCTTGCAATTGCAAAGGTTTGGTAAAGAATAATAATACCCCCTCGGCCACTCACTTTTTTTTCTTGAAAAGGAATAAATTGGTATAAAGGTAGCTCTCCCTTGCAGCAGTCCCTCCTCTTACATAGAAACTAGATACTGTCTCCTGTGTTCATACTCAATGGATTGCTGTTTCTCCCATCTCTTCTATATGCTTAGGAAGGAGGTAGCTGTCTAATGGCTTTTCCACTACCTTTTTGAGTGGGTTTTTTTTTTTTTTTTTTTTTTTTTTGGGAGATGGAGAATTTGATACAGCAGCACCCACCACTACTCATCTTCACACGGCTTCCATTGTCCTAAACTGTGATTGTTACTCCCGAAGCAGAAACTAGGCAGACCAAAAAATAAAAAGACTACTACAAAAGAAAAGAAATCCACTTGCTTAACCTACTAGGAATTCCCCCTAAACATTTTGTTTTCTTAAGATAGTGCAGAGAAAAAAAGGGTAATCAAATCTAGCCATTTACAATCCTTGATATACAAGATGATGCCAGCAAGTAGACTGATACTTCGATTTGACTGGTAACTAGATGCTCTTGCATCTGCCAATCTGCCGATTTCCATCTCTGCAGAATATTTTTAAAAATTATTATTTATTGCTTACCTTCTTAATCATCACAAAATAAATCAGCATTGTTCCTCGGTACATCTTTTGAATGACAGTAATTAATCATTGTATTCTTAAATCTGTTATGAGTTACTATGGTGCTAGATCACGCACACCTTCCTTTCTCAGTAGAATAACAGAATGCAGTATTATAGTCATAACTTGGTTGGTACTGCTATCTACAGCTAACGTAAGGCTTTTACTTGCATTATAGTAAACCTCCCTTACCTCCTTCCCACCCTCATTTTTAGAAGCTTTTCACTTGAAAGACATGGTGTTTGGTTCCAGCTCAAAAGTACATATTTCTAGACAGCTGAAGGAAAATCCATTCTGAACGTCTCAACTACCATAAAAAATAAGTCAGGTAATTAATTGAAATGTTGATCACTAATGAGCTAGGACTAACTTAGCAAAATCCTTCCCCACTTCCCTCCAATATATTGGAAGTTCTTAGTATGCAACAGGCAAAAAATTATATTTAGACATTATGGCTTGGATCACTCTCACCTGACTTTAGGTGACTACAGTTTAGTTAGGTACAGGTGAGCTAGAAGCCTTTTAAAATTACTGAAGAAAAACATACTTCTCAACAGTGTGATTCATCAGACCTATACTAGACATTTACTTTAGGAAAACATGACTTGTGTCCTAGAATTCTTCAGGTACATAGATGCTAAAGGACGATTAGCCCAGCTGTGAGCACCTGTGTTTTACAAATCTAATTATTAGGCGAGATAAGGATTCACAAAATGTATATGAACACACACTCATGAACAAACTTTATGACAGTTCCCTTTAGGTAACAGAATTCTGAAGTTTAAAACAATTTCAAGCAATAACAATTTAAAAAGCGTATTTCTACCCACTTTTCCCATGTATTATTACTACACTTCAAAGAATTCTAATAAAAACATTATAGAGTAAATTTTTTACTGCTTTGATAGACGGACTCTGGCTTGCTACTCTGTGTGCAGTTAGCATCACTCTCTACAGCATTATTTACTTGATGCTGTTGGATGATGGAGTACTGAACTCAATGGCAAAGAATATAAAAACATTTGTTAAATAAGAAACAGAAGCTAGAAGGTAATGATTATGGTAACTGAATATAATACTCAATTATTTTAACCTTTAATAAAAAGCATTTTAAGTTAAAGACAAACATTTAAATTGTAACTCCAGGAATTTATTTAAAGAATGGAAATGAAAAGGATAACATTAAAGAGAGGGTACTTAGATTCCAAAGCCAAGGAATGTAGACCTTACCGCTTCTCACACTGATGATAGTTTACAGATACACATGTATACATAAAATGCACACTATGTTTTATGATTAGGCAAACAACAAGTGTACATAGACGTTCACATGGTTTATCAAATAAAGTCATGTTACTTTGATAAATTTTGCTCCTTCATTGTTTGACTTATTTTGATATTGATGACACATAATGTATGCTGCTATTGTTTCAAGTAGACATTATTTTGTATAAATAGATAAATGGAAATTTCTTTAGGCGCTATTACTGATATTAGTGAATATTACTTACTCTGCCATTTGCCAGAGTGAAAGCCTGGACTTTGTGTGTGTGTATATATATATGTATATTTTTAAATAACAGTCTTACATCCAACATAACCTCTATACAACTTTTCATTCTCCAATTATAGTTTAGATACGTATATATTTTAATCTTAGAACATCCTGAACTGTTTCCTTTAACAAACAAAAAATACCATCTGTGAGAATGCACATGAAAGCATCCTCAGACTTTAATTATACATCTCATGGCAAAATGCATTCAAGAATGGGTCTAGGGACGGACATATAAAATATTCCAAAACCAGAGAGCAATGATTTCTACTGCATGACTTTGTTTCTGTAAATGAAAATGTGAGAACTTGGGATTTGTAAAATCTATGACTATTGCCACTTTTTTCAAGTTATAAGGAAAAATATTTGCAATACAGTAAAATTTCACATGGTAGTGAAAACATTAATTGAATTAATTAGATCTACACTTCACTCAATGCTTCCACTCTGAGAAGAAACGTTTTCAGGAACTGAGTGTTCTAACTCAAACAAGTTCCTAAACAGGAATGACCTAAGGGCCAAGAAGATGAAAACATAAACACAGTAATATTAGGACAAATTTTAACAGGCATATGTGACAAATAACACTAGAAAAGTGATAAATAAAAATAGAAATGTTTAACTTCTTTAGATGAGTGACATTTCCTTTACTAATAACAAACTGCTTTTTTTATTATTGATTGAATAAGTGTTAAGAATTAAAGAAAGTCATCTGTTGAATCTTTTATTATGATCATAATTTAGTTACAAGACCTTTCAGTTTCTCTTACTTTCTCTTTGCTTCGTATGGAAAACTCTACTTTAAATTTCTCGTAGTAATACATTGCCTAATATCTTAATTCAGAAGAGCTTTTCTTCAATGATACCAATAAATCTCCAGGGTTTAATGTTTAACTTGATTTTCTCGTTTTTCACTCCGAGCAAGCTGTATTTTTATGCATTTAATGTATGTTTCTACACACTCGTGTTCAACAATCCTGACATTTACACTAACCGAAGTCAAGAAAACACAATATAATGTATACCACATAAAAATGCAGAATCTAAATTTATATATAGAAATTTCTTTAAAGATGTACATACGTTCTTGTTACATCTTGTTCAATCATTGCTCGAAGCTCTTTATCCTGGAAAAATTTATTCCAAAGACTCTGAAATAAGGAAAAATAATTGTATGAAACAGAGACTTCTACTAATATTTAAGGCTTATATACTACATCAGCAAAGTACTGTACAAATATTAACTAATTAATTCTCAACATTACTGGTAGATAGGTATATCAGTATTTTACAGGTGAAAAAGAATGTTCGTGACCAGCCTAACGTATCTAAGAAAGGCAGTTTAGATCAGAGATGAAAACATTCCAGTTCCTGGATCCTTGTTCTAGGCTCACTCCACTTGCTCACTGGATGGCTGCAGGTCTGTGAGTTACTTGTAATGGTCTATGAAGAATATTTAGGAAGGCAGAGTGAATTCAAACTTACCAGAACCAGTGGCTCAACTGAAAAAAATTCAGTAGTTTACTCATGGAAAAAGGTCTGTCCCACTGTACTGTACTACATTTCTCCCATGAATGTACGAACTCTAATTGGAAGATGCTATCATTTGCATACTAAGAAATTGTTGGGAAGTAGGCTAGTTTGTCTTAGTGGAAGCAAAACCAAATAAGGAATGTATGATGATCAAATACTTATTATGAAAATGACATCATTCTAATGCTACATATGCACACTGCAGATCAAGACCGGCCATTCTAAAAAAGTTCTGATAGGGAAAACCAGGCTATTTAAAGCTCACTGTCAACATAAAATAAAGAAAAGAGTATGAAGTGGGTTTTGCTGCTTCTATATCTGTGCTTATGACCATTTTCATTCTCTTTCTTTGGTTTCCATGCCTTGTTTACCAATATTTTGCAAAAGCTAACCTGAAAGAAGTCAGCAAATGTTGTTTGTATGCTCCAGAAGAAGTAGTGTAAAGCCTATTCTTTATGTGAAAGGGATGGTAGCTTGGCCATATTGATCAAAACAGAGAAGGAAGAAAATCTATAGCAGTCTTTTCACGCAGGTTAGTTTTCAGATAGCAGCAGCGCCAGTGAATGAAATACCGTACAAAGAGAGTGGCTGCAATACTTCCAGAATTTCTTGCTCCCCTGTAAACAGTTCATTGCCATGGACGCTTATGCTCCACAGAAAGAGAAGAGAAAGTAAATTCATGTTATCTAGTAAAAGGAAAGTAAAGTAACAAAAAAGAAAATGTTAATTAGCTTCTATATTTGTGCTACAAACTATGAAAAAAACCCTCCAAACTTTCTATTTATATCCTTGACAACGCCTCACACCGAACTAGTGCCTTTTTAACTTGCAGCTCTTTTCATGCAGCCAGATCACATTTGGAAACTCCCTTGCCCCTGCTCCCAGCCCCGGTCCATCAGAGCAAAGGACGAAGGAAGAGATTCTCTCTTGCTGAAAAGGAAGCAAACCCCTGGACACTGAAAGGGTAAAACATTAAGTCACGGCAGAGGCGCAGAGGCACTGAGCTCTTCATTCCTACGCCTGCTTTGGCCCCTGGCCTTGTTTCACAGATTAATCCCCTGCCACACGCTCTGACATGTTAACCTTTGCCTTCTGTCTCCTGAAGACATCACAGGCAGAAAGAAGGTTGTGCCATTGCGTAGAATCGCAAACTACAGCAGAAACACTCTAAATCTTTCACATTTGACACAACTTTCTGTCCAGCTGGATGCACTAACGGTTTGATGGTGTGCACAGTCATACTGGCTGCAAAGCCACAAATGTGCCTATGATCAATACTTCCATGTTTCCACCAGCAAATCTCTCTCTCCTCCTACATTAAATATGAAATCCTACATTAAATACAAACAAAATATGGGTTTCCATTTGTGAACAAACTGGAAGTACAATTAGGACCACCAACGATATCTGTAGACAGTCTTTCCAGGTATACATCTCTTAAATGCAGCCAAATGAATTTTTTTCATGGTATTAAGTTATTCTGAAAATTTGATAAAAAAGAATTTTCCAAAATGGTAACATAATTAACAGAGAAGTTTAAAAAGATGTGCTATGAAATACCTAAGAGCTTTTCAGGTATAATAAAATGCAGTGTAAACAAACAAACAAACAAACAAACAAAAAGCCTAAAATTAAGCTCCCAAATCTACATGTAAACCCTCATCAAAATGTCATGACTTTGAAAATACCAAGCTACTAGGAGGTCCCATTAATTTCAGTGAGAGCTAGATGCTCGGTATTTAATGACAGGCCAAATACTTCTACCACATTTTTGGTATTTCTTTAAAATCTGGATCTGTCATTTTGCAGCTTGCTGCTTTCTGATTAGAAAAGAAACGTTTGTTTCTTTTAACAGTATAAAGAAAAAGAAATAAAAACCTTGGAAGAAATGCATGTCTTGCAGCCTGGTGCTTTAGACATTAACTCAGCACGTATACAACTCAGACATACAACAATTCCATTTTTGCTGGAGAAAAACTTCCAAGGCTGAACAGTCTTCCAGAGGAAGGTTCTTCAGTATTTGCTGGTAACAGCATTCCCTTCATATTGACTGTTTAAACACTCCTTCAATTACAGCCATTTTGTGTATAAAATGAAAAAACACAGCAATAAAAAAGCGTATCAGTCAAAAAAAGGATAGGCTGTGAAACTGGACTTATTGTCCAGCACCAATTTTTTTGTTCATCACAGCCTTCCCTGTGACAAGCCCTGAAAAATCAGAATATTAACCTGGAAATGAGCATTTCTGGCTGTTCAGCAGAGCCTGGGAACCACTGTTAACACAAATCAGTTTGGAAATTCAGGAGGGAGATATTAGCACCCGCCATTTTTCCTTCTTCAGCAAGAACTCACATTGTGTCAGGATGATGATGATGATGACAATTTTAGTAGCACATATATTGACAGAACCAAGGGTCAACTTACCCCCTCGTCCTGAGACAGCGGGTTGTTGATTATCAGATCTTGCTGTCCTGCTTTCCGAGGGTTTGTAATGTGCTGGGTAAAAACAGAAAAAAATCAAATCCTCTTCTGTTATATTGTAAGTATTAACACCTATGTCAATGCATGACAGCAGAGAACCTATTTTGTACCGACTTACAATTTCTTTGATCTTATTGTAAGAAGTTCTTAAGTCTGAAGTAGTTTTAATCCATTGACTTCTGTCTTGGGGTAGAACCTCCAGAAATAACTATCAACGAAACAAAATAAATCCATTAAGTTTAATCAATTTAACATAGCTTTTCATATGAATCCTACCAGACAGCATAAATCAGGTCAGAAAAGAGGAGCAAGTACTCTACACATACGGGGAAGAAAGCAAAGACCTATAAAACACCCCTGGCTTTAGAATGTTCCAGTCAATAAATAAGAAGTTAGAAACGATAACAGTTCTATGGTAGGAAATAAAGCATTAAAAAAACCTGAAGCCACAAACTCATGCTTTGTAAACTCTCACAACTTCAGTAAAGTTGATTGAGACTTCCACGGCAGAAATAAAATGCAAAGAAGACATGAAAATAAATATACAAAACTTGAAGCTATTTACATAACTCCGATGAGCTAATGCAACATGCTTAAAACCAAACATGAATGGAGAGCAGAAACTAAGCACTCAGAGATATACTTGACCTAAGGAATGTGGAAAGGGAAAATCTTAGCCTACAGAAAAGTAACATGTTCTAGAATTCTGCAAGACAGTTAAAAACGTCGATTTTGCAAAAAGTCCTTGAGAATGCCCACATCTCAGTTCTTTCATAGCTCTGTTTAAAAAGGGTTAGAAAGAAACATCTATGGGAAAATACTATTTAATTGCATATAAGGAAAAAAATCCAGAGTATTTTCTTGCTTTTTAAATGTTTTTATTTACACATTATAAAGTGTTATGAAACAGTAAATACTGAGAAAAAAAACCACCTCAAATTATTAAAAATACTTAAATATTTCAGAACTTAACAAAAATATTGATAATATTTTAAAAAGACAGTCTAAACCAGAGCCCTAACCCATATCAGGACGTGCAAATAAAAACAGCCTTATTTCTAAAATAAAACCACTCCTTGATTTAATCAGTGGAGAGTGAGGGACTTGAAGCTCTTGTTAGTTCAGGGTTTTGAGTTATGGCCTCCTAATTCAGAGACTCAAGCAGCAGCAGACTGGTAAAACAACGCTTGTGGCACACATTCATCTGGCCTCCTGAAGAAAGTATTTTCATTAACCTTAAATTTCTTCAATGCTACGTATATTTCAAATTTCAAACTTCAATTTTCAAATTTCTTTCATTCTTATACAAAGAGTATTTTCATTTTCTTTTTATAGGTCTTTGTGCCAAAGTGTAGCTTGAGAAATTCCAAGTGAGGCAATTTAAATTATCAGTGTTAACATACAGCATCTCTACCAGGGAAAATGTTTTCTACTATCAAAATTAGTGCAGAACAGAAGACCTGCTGCCGGTGCAACAAAATTCTTTTGGACTTCATATAGCATCTTGCTTTCTTTCTCTCTTCCTTCCCCTGAAACTGTTAAAAAATACAAGAGACCTCTGAGGACCTGTTGTGTTTTAAGATTGGAAGACCTGGTTTCCCTTTCCATCCAGTCATTACAAGATGGATTGGTCCTCATTTTCTCATTTCACTGGGAGAAGCTGCTAGCAGAAGCATCAGACTGATTTTAAAGGAGTCCCAAGTTCCACAAAACATAAATTGTGAGACAACCTTCCTTTTTATTTCCAGTGCACGACTTCACTGCACAGAGACTGAGAAGAGAGATGGCTGCGCGGCACTCAATTCTAAACACACCACCCAGCACAAAGAGGTTCCTTCCTAGGAATCTTTTGCTATCACCCGCAATTCAGCTCTAAGGCAACTCAATATGATTAGCGAATGTCCTATGAATTATAAAAATGAGTAGGAAAACATTGGGATGAAGTCTCTTGGAAAATTCATGATTCTTTGCATCAATAATCTTCCAGCACATCAGGTAATGTGTTGATATATTGCAACCACAAACTGTAAATAAATATTTTCTCTTCTTACCTTCCAGCAAACACTACGGAACCTGCTGCTTCTCAGCTGCCCATTAATCCCCTTCAGCCGTATAGTTGCCAAGTAATTGTTGTTTACAAATAGTTCTTCCCATTCTTTACTGCGTGCAAAAGCAAAAGGAATGAACATTTAAACAACAACAAAAAAGTCTTAGCTGATTTAAGGACTATATGACACTACACAATTTTGTATAAGCAGAGGAAAGGAACTTTTTTAATGTATATATTTAGTTGTGTACCATTTCTAAATGCATGGCTGTCTTTTTGGACACATTTCTTCTTTGGATTTAATGAATATGTAGATCGCTATAATTATGCCAGCTACTGAAATTCATAATGTCTATGGAGGCTATTCCATTTCCTCTAAAATGTTGGTACTGCAGTTCAGTGAATAAACAAGAAAAATGAATATTAATATAAGCACATTCATGTTTCAGCTGTAGACAAAGAAGTACCTATTCCAAAAATATGCAACTGAAAAGTATACTGTTGACTGTATTTGCTTCTCACATGACATATTTGCTTAAATGAACCTTCTTTTCTTCTTAATGTCAAGCTGGGCAGTTAAGCATAATAGAAGATGACTTTCTTTAACATTTAGTGCTATTTACTATTGAAATCACTCCTACTTCTTTCTACATGATCAGTTTTAAAATTTTAACAGGTGCTAGCAAATTTAAAAAAACATCAAAAAATTAAAAAGCCTCACTGTATAAACTGTTAAAGGCAAGCTTGAGTACCTTGCAGTACCTATGGCTGACTAGATAAACAACCTAAATATGCCTCCCAGGCATGCAGGCACCAGGGGCCTAACACCTGTGCCTCATTAATATACAAGTAAATCTGCTCTACTGGGAAACAATTGGAAATTAATTGTCCCAAACCATCTACTGAGTTAGAATAAAAGAATTAAATCTGTATTTCCTGCACCTTCTACTGAAACGAATCTCAAGAACAGGATAAGCCATTTGATGGTCTTCGTAGCCCAAGACTTGCTCACAGACTTTGAGCAACCACTCTAAAATCCAAAGGGTAATTTCAATGTAAAGAGATGGGTTATGTGCAAGGAAATGCGTTTCAGATTTATTTTCAATGCATGTCCTTAAGGTGAATGTCTCCCTCTCCCACTGTCGTGTGGGAGACTATTACTTCTCCCTGGGAGACCAAATGAAACCAGAAAGAGGGAAACTACTATTGTGACTCCAGGGTAAGATCTCACCAGATTTCTGTCGCTAAGGAGGGTCACAGAGTGGGTTACACTAAATACCAATGAACTCTGGTTTTGCAAATTGCCCTAAATATTTGCAAGCTAGAGTTAGATAGTTTTCAGCCTTGTAAAATGAGTTATGAGGGTGACTTTTTTTAAACCTTGTTTTAACTAAAACTTGCTTGGTTTCTGAGCAGAATTGTATGATACAGTTGCTGGGAATAGTTGGGGAACGGACTTGGCAAGCCAGGAAATTACGGTCCTGTTCCTCTGAGACAGGAGTGAACTTACAATCCATGCTGAGACCAGACATGTTGTGCCTGTGAATGCACCACCTTTCAGCTAAGATTGTTTTCTAAAAAAACGGGTGTTTACTTCTGGGCCTTGATTATTAACTACTTTGATAAGCGAAGGTACTCCAGATAAGGACAAAGATGACTAACGTAGTGTTACCTTGCAGGGGTTAGGGCTGCTTTCAGCTTCTGCCACTGCCGATATTGCCAAGTGACCAAAACAGCAGCAAGTAACTCCAGTGGTCTGTGGCAGCTTCTCTCCTTCCTGCCACATCCCCCATTCTCCAAGTCAGAGAGACTATCTGGTCATTTTGCTGTCTCCCATACGTCCTCACCTTCTGCAGTGAGCTGCCTACGATTGTTTACCACAATTCTGTCTCCTTTAAATACAACGTATGGTATATAGCAGACACAGCTTGAGAAAAATCTGGCCCTTTCTTTCACAGTCATTTATACTTCAGTAACTACAGTATATTATGCCTATCTAAATAACCCTCCTATTTCTATCACATATAATATTCTTTGTTTGACACTGTAAATTTTGTAGCATCGTTGGCCATTATAACTCCTGCCAAGCTGGCTCCCTAAGGTAGTGATGCATCAAGAGTGACACATTCCCCTGTGCACACAACAGGTCAGACTCTGAAGCTATTCACATTGTTCTGCAAGTGGATGACATTCCCACAACGTCTTTGAAAATGCCGGTATGTCAGCTGAGTTAGCAAAAGGTTTCAACCAGCGTAACTGAATAGAAAGAACAGAGAGGAAAGAAACTCTTCAGGTTATTTTTTTCACCAACTGCTGGGAGTGATTGCTACACAGTAAGAAAGTAATTTCAACACTTCTTAAATTGTATTAGTGCAGATACTATGCTTTGTCTTTTTTTTTTTTTTAAATTTGTAATGCAATTCCAAACACGTTTTGAACAAAATTACATTTAAAACAGCCAAAAGAAATTTGGCAAGATCCTATCTCCTCCGCATCCGCCCTTGGCTGCTGGGATCACTAAAAAGAAAAGTTATGAACAACTGGAAAAAAAAAAAAAGATTTGGAAGCTGGAATCTGCCTCAGTTTTAGTAGAGCTGAATGATATCTAAAATCCTTTCTGAACAACATTCACTAATTCATTTCTCAAATATTTTGAATGAAGCCTAATAAATTAAGCCTTACATTTCTAGAGACTGTTTCAATAATACAACACTGTGTTATATCAACAAGCTATCAATTCTAAAGGGATATTTTTTAAAAATTATATAGCCCTACTCTGTAAACTAGTATCTATGAGCCTTGTTAGCCCGGGCTTGCAGAAAACTCATCGGTCAAAGTGAAATGAGCAATGGAGATTGGAACTCAAGTCTACCACATCCCATTTGCTTCACTGAAGTGAAAGACTTCAAGAGCCAATTGGAACTACTTAAACTATGAATAAGCACATGCAATTGTTTTTAATAAAGCTAGAAAATTAAATGCATAATCATGTATTAATACCACCTTAGGTTGTACATGACAATGTTTCCTGGTTATTTTGCATATATTTTTCGTTTCATATTCTTATTTAAATATCCTGTCTGATATACTATCATACATATGATAAAGTTTTCATAATATAAAGCCTGCAACAGGAAAAAGTAATTGGATTAATGTTTCTCTAAGAATCGTAATTTCACATGCTGTGTCTATGCAGTAACCATCCAATGTAAAATATTTATTGGCATAAGTTAGGGACAGTTGCATTACTTAGAAGTGGGAAAAGTGCTCTATGTATGAATGCAAAAGCAAGCAAATCAGTGGAAGGGGTGAAGGTTGCAGATTCATTCTGCAAGGTTTGTTCTTAGTTCTGATTTGTTCCTTTTCATCTTTTGGAACATGGATGCATTTATGCATAACTACAAGAGCTTGAATCTGCAAAAGAATTTTACACTGGGGTCTGCTCTAATACACACACTTTCTTGCTTATAAGGAATGAGGTTGATCTTCTAGCAAACCATACGTAAGTATATTTATTCTTCTCTTTCTCTCCAACAGGACGTGTTTTGTGGATCTGATGCTTGTTAACACAGTTACAAACATTAGATTTTCAGAGATAAAAGTCCAAAGACTTGGGTGAGAAATGTATCTCTGTGATGACACACTGTAAGGAAGGGAGCACAATGAGCAGGACATTATATCGGAAAGTCTAAGCAAAATTTTACATGCACTTAAATACCATTTTTTAAAACATATTTAAATCCCTGAGGTCTAACATCTTAATAAAAGACACCGGAATGTCACTATGTCACAGCTATAGAGGAACAAGCAACTCTTTAAGAATGAGTGACACCGATAATGTAACAAGACATCTGGAAAATAATTCTGGAATTCAAACAGTAGTTCCTAGAGTTTTACTGAGGCAACACTGAGGTGTGGTTGTGTTGGGGAGAGGTAGCAAAGATTTTCTTCCACTGATAGCCTGCAGTGGAACATCAGCCTCTGGCTCTGCTGCTAAATTTGGATCTGCAGCATAACGGCAAAATGAATGCATCGAGCATAGATACGCAGAAGAATGCAACTGTAGCCCACCTAAGCTCATCACAGAATAAATACTCTATTCAGAAGAGGAAGAAATACATTTGAGGAAGAGTGGTACAGCACAGCCAGTAATCACCGCTAGTTAACTTCTGCATTTACCTATTTACAGGATAAAGCTGCTGATGTATACAAATGCAGATCCTTCCAAAGTTTAAAGCTAGTGTAAGAAGCATTTTTGTACGACGATGTTCAGACAACATTGAACTCTGTAGAAGACGCTGAAACCCACAGATATGTAAAAATGTAAATAGCCACATTAAATTACAATCTCTGCCACTGAAAAGGGGCAAAGATTCAGCTCTGGGACTGCAGGGGCTCAGACCTACCAGGTAAATGTTGCTGTCCATAATTATTTCACTTTCAGCTGAAACTGCAGATAACAAAGAAACCAATATCTATCACGTCATTAGACAGTGGGTATAGTTGTTTTGTCTCATGCATTTTTAAAATATTTTATGCCAAGTTTTGAAATCCCTTTTTTTGTGTCCATGATGAAGCAAGACCAATTCAATATTTACAACAACATTTAGATAACAAGGAGTATTTCTCAGTTCGTGAAAGAATACTGCAATACTATTGAAAGGTGTGAATATTTGCATACATATTTGAGATTTCAATCTAAATCTCGAGCTTATTCTACCCTCTCGACCAATATTGAAGGATAAAATGGACAGTCTCATAGAGATCCAAAGAAAACTCTTGAGCAGTGCTGCTAGTATTGGCTAAATCATCTAAAACAAAATGGTGTGCATGCTCCCAGAAAAGCCAATTTCACTTTTCATAGTGTTTTTTGTTAATCTTCAGAATGTGTTTTTTAAAATGTTGAGACCCAAAATCAGCTCCCCAGAGGCATCCAGTGAAGCAACAGGCTACTGAATAGGCCATCAGAAAGAAAACAAATTCTTGAATTATTGTGTCATATGTTTGGCAATATTGTTATTGATAGGAACATCAATAAGTGAATGTAGTATCTATATTTAAATAGAGGCAATAGTTTTTTTCAAACGTACTGTATAAATCCAAGAAACATGCA